CCCGGCCCCTCCCCGCGCCCCCGTAGGGGCCCCAGTCCGCCGCCGGACCCTGCGCCCCCGGACGTGGTAGGAGGGGCAGGCAAGCCGGCCGCGGGCGCCGCCTCTCCGGCCCCCGGCCCCTGCGAAGCCTGGGGACGGCCAGGCTTTCGCACAGTGATTGCGAGTAACGAGACTGATGCCGTCAGGAGGGGCCAAAATACAGAAAGGAGCCAAGTTCCCGATCTGGCTGAGATCACACAACAGGCCGGAGCTGGAATTAACCCGGTTTGCCGGCCCGGCCAATACACGGGTCGCTTCGCGTGCGGAGGCTCAACAGCGCTAGCCAGCCGAGCGCTGCGGGAGCCGGTGCGAGGGTCCGCGCTGCTGCCGCCGCCGGGCTCGGGGGAGCGTGGCGTGTGAACGCAGCCCGCGGGTTCAGCGCCTGGCCTTTCCCTCAACACTGGCCAAGGGGCCGCCCTCCTCCCTCTCAGCGGCAGAGGAGCAAGAATGATTCCGGGGCTTTGCCGCCCCACCGGTTTGGCAGGGAAGTTGGCAGCTTGGGGCTAGAGATGGGGGAGCCTCTGGGGAAGTCAAGGCGCAGAATGCACAAAAGCTCATCTTATCTGCGCATACCGGAGGTAATCTGGTTGTGGACCTGCTGGGAGGGTTTGCGCACCAGCAGGCTGGCTCTGCAGAACACACAGCAGCAGAAAAAGAGCCAAGGCTAAAACTAAATAAGAATCATCGGTGTGTGAGGAAAATACATTTCTAGGGGAAGAAAATAAGTTTTCGGATGAATGGGATTTTCCTCACAATTGTATGTCCTGCAGAGATCACTCCTGGGTCTTTAGCTGATCTGATAAATCGAGCTGTGAGAACCAGCCCAGCAGCGGATTTCCTGGAGGGAGAGGGAGAGGGAGCTCCTGCCTGATGGATCAGGGGCTCCTGTGTCCTGCTGGTGGCCTTTCCCTGATCTGGTGCCAGCTGTTTCCCAGTGCAGCACCCCCAGCCCTAGTGAACCGTTGTGGGAATTCCCACCTGCCCTGGGAATGGTGATCTCAGAATGCTCTGTGGTTGCTAGCCGTAGCCCTCCCCTTCGCTGTTTATTTTACTTTTTCCTTCGATGCACAACTTGCCTTGGCTCCAGGTGCTCAGGGCACCCCCTCCTCTTCTCCGTTTCCCCCACAACAGCGCATGCACACGCCTGAGAAAGTCGACCCAGAAGGGGAGAGGCTGCCAAGCGAGCCCTCCGGCAGGAAGTGCGAGAGAAAAGTGTCTTGCCACCGATCCCCTGCTTTGGTATCAGAGGTGAGCCTGCCAGGCAACCTTTTGAGCCACACAGAAATCTTGGTCTTGTGCAGTGGTGTCGCAGGGAGGCCCTTCGCTCCTCTTGTTTAAAGCAGCTCCTTGGGCTGGGAAACTGCACCACTCCACTTTGCCGGCCAGTGCCTGGTTTTTTTCTCACGCTCTGGTTGCCCCCCCCCCCCGCCGCCTGTTCTACTTTCAGTTTTCTTCCTCTTTTCCCCCTGAAATTGATTGAGTCAGCAGTTCCTTTGTGGGTTTGGCTGTGGCTTCTGTCTTTTGTTTGCCCAGCCATCCCTTCAATAGATCTGCTTCCTGATAAGGGCCCAGGCCTCCTGCCCCATGTAAACCGAGTCCTCCCTTTGGGGAGCAGGCCCCCGCAGAGCAGGCGGCCTTTTTCTGGAGCGGGTGCTCCACGCCAACCTGGACCGCTGGCCCTCCTGCACCGCACCTCTGCCCCTTCCCCCAGGACGAAGGGCTGGCCTTTGGCCAGTGGGTCAGAACAGGGCCCGGAGAATGGAGGAGGGCAAGACAGGTAGAGGCACTGGGGCTGACACTGCCTAAAATTGCCAATAGCCGCCCTGGAAAAGTATGTTCACCAAAGCCATGTTTTCTTTTGTAAGGCGCGGGGGAGGCAGGGAAGAGGAGCCTTCTTGGAGAGATCTTCCCACTGGGTTTGTGGGCATCTCCACCTGTTGTCTGAATCAGGGAGGTATCCAAGGTTGCATTGCCAGCTCCGCTCAAGGCCCCCATTTGTTCCTCCTAGAATTTAGGCCAGACTCTTGACTTTGTGCCTGCCTGGCCTTCCAGAACACCCTGGACCCCTCTGCTGGTGAGCAGGCCGGCCTGAGGAGGGAGAGGTTATCCTTTGGCGTCCAGGAGTCTTTGGGGCGCTCTGAAGGTGAGGCAACCAGGTGAGTTGTCTTCCAGACAAGCTGGTTTATTTGTCG